CTCCTTCCCAGGGCCTCTCGGGACCCAGCAGGGAGTCACCAAATCCCAGAGTGTCAGGGCAGGAAGGGATCGCAAAGGTCGCCTTGGCCAAATCCTCTAGACAGATGGGGAAACCAAGACCAAGGGAAGGAGTGGGACCTAGGCCAGGGTCTCATAGTGAGGTAGGGGAGGGGCAGGGCCCAACTTCCCACTCCTAGCTCTGGGGCCAAGGGAGCTTACCCACTTACCCAAGGCTAGAGACTGGGAAGAAGAGATTGGAGAAGGCCCTGCCTTCTCTCTATCAGCTGTAGGACTCCCTGAAACTCCTAGGCAGGCGGGGATTGGCCCTGGAAGCCTTCTTGGAAGCAGCCAGTGTGGCAGCTGAGGTGTGGCAGGGTGTGTGAGGAGTTCAGCTGAGACCAGATGCCCCTTTTCACGAGCATGGAGTTCAAATCCTGCTTCTAACACTCATTAACTTTGTGACCTTGAACAACTAACTCCCTACCCTCCTGGGGACTGGTTTTCTATTTCTGTGAAAGGGAGGTGACTATCTCGCCTCTGAGATCCCTTTCAGCTCTAAATCTTATCCTATAAACTCCAAGATATCTGAAACCTTTGAGGTTTCATTTCCTTCTTTCTCTGACTGTTCCCTTCTGATATAGGATGTAAATGAGATTGTTTCAGAAAGGAGAGTCGTATGGAGGGGGACCTAATGCAGCCAGTGGTAAGGCATAGGGCCATGTTTCTTGCTCAGACTGGGAGTCCTTGGAAGGGAAGGCCAAGCCTTCTCCCTTTTGCAGGGAGATTCCTGCTAGGGCACCCTAGCCACCTTGAGGTTCACACCCCTAAGTTCTGGCCCAGCTCGATGTGGGAGAGAGGGCTTGGTGCGCCCACCTTGCCTCAGGGACCTGCTTGGTGCCTCCCCACTTGCCATCCACCCGCATCTCCCCAAACAGGACTCAGTCTCAGTTGCTCGTTACATAGCAACATGTTTATTTTATCATCATACATTCCTTATTACATGAGCAGCCACCCCAAGAAGAAGTTTAGAGGGAAGAGAGGTGGAGACGGGGCAGAGCAAGGCATAGCCTCCATTACTTCTATGGGACCTACCCTAACTCCGGAGCAGCCTTGGCTCCCAGCTCTGCCAATGGCTTGCTGTGTGACCTAGGGAGAAGTCCCTTTCCTCACTCGTGAGCCTCAGTTCTCCCGTCTCTAACATGAGGGAATAAAACTCCATGATCTGATGTATCTTCCCAACCTGATAGTCCATGCACTTAGTGTAGTGGCTGGCACTTAGTAGGTGCTTAATAAATGTTTATTGATTGATTATTGATCTGGGTCCTAACTTTCTTTTTAACCTTCACTTTCTATGTTTTGAGGTGCCTCCCAGCACTGACCTTCTCTGTTCTAAGTTTCCTCCCGATTCTGACATTTGGTGTTCTACAAGTTCTCCCAGTTCTGATGGTCTATGTTCTATAGGCCCTTCCAGCTTCGACATTTCATCTTCCTAGGGTTCTCCTAGCTATGACATTCTGTTCTGAGGACTCTCCCAGCTCTAACATCCCTTACTCTATGACCTGGTTTGAAACCCAGGGACAGAATCCATCCTTGGGGTCAGAATCTTTCTCAGCAGCAGATGTTGGGGGAAAGGGAGAAGACATAAGCTTCCAGGTTGGGACAGCAGCATCACAGGGCAGGTTGTAGGAGTCCCAGGTGCACTCAGGGCTGGGCACGAGGCCGAGCTGGGGGCCGAGGGCAGGGCTGGGCAGGCAGGCAAGATCAGGCCTAGTGAGTTCGGCAAGAGGGAGGGGGAGGCTCAGATAGAAAGGTGGCCAAGGGATAGGAATGTCAGTAGAAAAAGCTCGGTCCCTGGGAAGGGCAGGAGCCCCTTTCCCACTCTGCTCCAGGCCCCGGGACACAGCCAATAACTCATAAGGAGCTGCTGCACCCTGGAGAGCCCTCACATCTAAGAGGGCAGGCACATGCTTCCTGCTTGGGAGACATGAGGGGATATCACTGAGGTCTCAGAATCCTCACCATCCAACCCAGGTCCAGAACAATCATTCTATCCAGATACGGGGCTTGGAACCCTCCCAAAGGCTGCTCTAGAACCCAGAGACTCGTATCCAGGACCATCATTCTTTCTCCAATTGTTTGGGGTGTTTACACCCCCCAGCTTAATTCTCACCGAAGTTCAATCCCAGAGCCCCACCCCTAAATATATCTAGAGCCAATATTTTCCCCAAGTTCTGCAGGCTAGAGCCCATCAAATTCTGTAGTCCTCACCACCCAAATGTCAACTATAGAAACCCTAAACACAGATTCAGAACCCTAAGCATGGTCACAACAGAGTTCTGGGAGCTTTATTCATATAACCTGCTCCAGAATCAGCCTCCCCCTGAACCAAGTTAGTCCCGGAATCCTTGTCTCTAGAGCCCAGAAGCCAGATCTAGAACCCCAGCTCTGAAACCCACCCAGAATAGGCCCCTCCAATACATCTCCACATACTGCACCAGGGGCCTTTGGTGCAGCTCCCCCACCAGGGCCTATTCACATATGAGAGTGAGTACTAAGGGGAGAGAGAGTGATGTGGGGCAGGGGAGAGAGATTATCAGGACAGAAGCAGGGCGAAAGATGGGGGGATAATGGAGGGGCACAGAGGGGGATAGAGATGAGAAGAAATGATGGGACTTTACAGGGAAAGAGATGGGGAGATAGAAGTACAAAGGAGATGGGGAAAATGAGAACAGGAAGAGATGTAAGGGGAGAGATTGGGTGACAGAAAAGGGAGAGATGTAAGGGAGATAGAGAGGAGGAGAGATTTCAGAGACAGAGAAGGGCATTAGAGAGAGGAAATGTTGGGGGAGAGGGTGGGGAGGGGAAGGGAGAAGGAGAAGAAGAAGAAGGAGAAGAAGAAGAGGAAAAGAAGAGAAGAAGAGGAAAAGAAGGAGGAGGAGGAGAGAAAGAGGAGAGGAGAAGGAGAGAGTGAGAGAAGAGAAGAAGAAGAAGAAGAAGAGGAAGAAGAAGAAGAAGAAGAAGAGGAAGAAGAAGAAGAAGAAGAAGAAGAAGAAGAAGAAGAAGAAGAAATGAAGATGGAGAAGAAGGAGGAGGAGGAGGAGGAGGAGGCGATGAGGAGGAGGAGAGAAACAGGAGAGGAGAAAGGAGAGAGTGAGAGAAGAGGAAGAGGAAGAAGAAGAAGAAGAGGAGGAGGAGAAGGACGAAGAGGGGGAGAAGGAGAGAAAGAGGAATGGAGAAAGAGGAGGGAGAGAGGGGGAAAGGGAGGGAGGGAAAGAGGGAGAGGGAGAGGAGAGAGGAGAGACAGAGAGAGAGAGAGAGAAGAGAGAGAGAGAGAGAGAGAGAGAGAGAGAGAGAGAGAGAGAGAGGGAGGATAGATATGGGCGAAGGTTGGGCTAGAGTAGATACACAGACCCAATTTTGGAAGAACAGGGGAAGGGAGGAAGGGCAAAGGGACCAGGAGAAGGGGGGGATCCTTTGCCCCTTCAATTTTCTGCCTTTCTCCTCATCCATTCTGCAAGCATCCCCTCTCTCCCACCTGTGGACATGTCCATTCATACCTGGTAATGCTGGTTATGCATTCTTCTGAAGGCCAATGCCTGAGCTCCCAGGGTCCCTACAATGCCATCCAGAGCCTCAGAGCTCATCAGCTACTTCTGACACATCACTTTGGAGAAGTGGGACTGGAATTGTCCAGAGAATGGACAGATAAGAGTTCATCTGACTCACAGCTCCCTTCAGGTCCCACCCAGGCCACTGAACCCATAGGTAGAAGAACCAGGAATTCAGCCCCCTCCCAGCCTCAACGGGGGGATCCCAGAGCCCATCACTGTCTTCATGAGGGTGGGAGGGGTTGAGCACACACATGTAGCCAAAGCTGAAACTCACCTAATTCATGCCCACCCATTCCACACGGAGTCACAGACTTAGGCACAAAAGCACCTACAATGTCACACCCATCCTGGACCAGCAGGCCCAGGCATAGCCACAGGCCTCCACACTCCTGAGTATAGCAGTCAATAGGCAATGGTAGCCTGTGGGAGCTTAGGCCCAGACCCAGGCTCTGCCTCCCCCTCCCCAAACTGGGCCCTCTGTGTAAACATCTATCTCCTCCCTCCATTCTGCTCTCTCCTCTTTCTGTCCTCTCTTCCTTTGTCTTAGTCCAGTCTCTGGCTTGGCTGGGCCTGGGCCTGATACTGATCTGACCGTTGTCACAGCCCCCAGGTCCCCATTTTGTAGTCAGTTTGGGAGGGGGGGCCAGAGGCTTCCTGAGACTGACCTGCAGTTCTTGAAAGAGCATGTCAGCCAGGATGTGGTGGCAGAGGCGGGTGACACGGTCAAGAGCATTTGCAACTGCCTCCCAAGCAGGTTCGCTCTCTGAGGGCCCCAGGTGGGACAGACGCTCAGGTAGGGAGCTGTGGAGGAGAAGCCGGGGCTCATTACTAGCCGGCCTTTGGTCGCAGATGATTCATTCCACATATTGGGTGGGCAGGCAGGCAGGCAAGTGCATCTCTCCACATTTGGAGGAGGGGTTTTTGTGTCTTTGGAGGATCTCTCTGTATCTCAGTGGTGGGCAGGTGACATGGCTTTGGTCTCTGTGAGAGGTCTCTTCATATCTCTGATGGGAGGGCATCTCTGTCCTTGGAGGAATCTCTCTGTCTTTGGGCAGTCTTTCTAGTGGAGCTTCTCTGTCTCTGGAGTTCTCTTTGTGTGTCTGAGGGTCACTCTGTCTCTGGAGAGGTTTCTCTCAGAGAGTAGGGAGGGGTCTCTTTTGAAGTCTGTGTCCCTGAGGAGGATGTCTCTATGTCTCTGGAAGGATGTTTTCTTGAGGCCAGTATGAATGTCCCTTTCCATGTCTCCAGAGGAAGTATGGGAGGGGGCCCTTTCTGTGGCCCTTTCCCAGGAGAATAGAGTTGGGGAGAGGAAGGAAAGGACCTCAGAACATCTGGGATAGGGACAGACTCCCTGAAGAAAGAATGGGCCACCTCCCCATGGGGAGAACATTAGGTCATGCTGGGGCCCTTCTCCTCATCCTCTCTAGGGCTTGCCTTATCGAAGAGGGGGGCCACTGCTCACCAAGGTAATTGTCCGGCTGATATAACTGTCACTCAGCAGCTCTTGGACGCTTGGGTTCTCATGGAAGCTCTCTACCCACTGCTGGAAGCTGGAAGGTCAAGAGACGGAAGTAGAAGCTCAGGTCAGGTCTCTCCTTTGCAGCCCACCTCTCAAGTTCTGAACTCATCTCCTCCAGGAAGCCCTCCAGGTTTCACTCTCCCTCCTGTTTTATCACTCTCTCACCTCTTATCACTTTCTTACCTCCCACTCACTTCTCCACCCTCAGGCAATCTGATTTCCATCTTCACCACCTGATTGAAAGTGCACTCTTCTGGGCCACTAGGAATTTCTCTATTGCTAAATCCAATGACCTTTCCTCACTCTTCCTGCATCTCTGTGCTGCTTTGGACCCAGCCTATCATCCTCTCCCCTTAATACTGTCTCCTCTAGGTTTTCAGGATGCACTTCTCCTGCCTGCTCCTCCTTCCACCTGATAATAACTTAGCTGATCCTGCTTCCCGCCTTCCCTGCTCTCCCTAGCTAAGTGCCCCCCAGATAACAACCTTGTTGCAAGGGCTCAGTGATCATCCCACATCCCAGATGACTCCCATATCTGGCCCACATTTGTCTGCCAAGCTCCGGGCTCACATCACCACTGTCTACTGGACATTTCCATTTGGATGTCCCATAGCTGAGAATCCTGATAGAACCCATGATCTTTCCTCTCCAACCTACCCCTACTCCTAAATCTCCCATTTCTACAATCTGTGCCTCCATCTTTCCTGTTCGAAGTTTATGATCTCAGAGTCCTCATGGACTCTTCGCTGTCCCATATCCAACTTCTTCCCAAGTCTTGTTGATTCATTGTATCCTGAGCACCTGTCCCCTTCACTCTACTCACCAGCCTCATTCAAACTCCCAACCCTTCTCTTCAGTACTATTGCCCTGGTCTCCAAATTGGTCTCCCCTTGACAACCCATCCTCCACAACCTGCCAAAGTGATCTCACGAAAGTACAATCCCGACCCTGTCACTCTGCCGCTGCTAAAGCGTCTTCCGTGACTCCCTAATCACTCTAGGAATCAAATACAAACTCATTTACTTGGTATTTCACATTCCAATCTACTTTTCCTGTTTAATTTCACATCACTACCTCTCATGCACTCTATTCCAGACAAATTGACATGCCTGCTGTTCCCATTCTTTCTCCTACCTTTACATTGACTGTCTCTCATACCTGGAATACAGTCCGTCAGCACTTTCTTGGATGTTTAAATTCAGATGCCATCTCCCACTTGGGACCTTTGATGATCCTCCGCCTCTCTGAATTGTTAGGTCTCCCTCCCTTCTGAAATTCCTTTGAAATTGCATCCCCCTTTCAAATTAAACAATCAAATGCTTTTTAAAATCATCAGTTTGCATACTATATCTCTGAAGGAGAAGGTAAACTCCTTGTGGAAGGGCCTTTTTTCTGGTCCTTGTAACCCCAGACCCTGGTACAGTACCTGATATATACTTCTCTCCCCACCCCATCCCACCTCTTCCCTCTGAGACCACTTTCCATCTATTTAGCATACATCTTGTATGCGCAACGTTATTGGCTTCCTGTCTTCCAGATTGGAAAATAAGCTCCCTGAAGGCAAGAACTGGGAAATGTATGGGTTTTTGATTCTTTTCTTTGTATTCCCAGCCACTGGTCTGGTGTCTGGGGCAATCATTCAATAAATGCCTGGCTGACTGAAATAGTTAGAGTTTAATCAATGCTGGGTTGAATTGAATCCTAGACTAAGTTGAAAAAAAGGGATGACCTGTGTCATGGGCAGGGTATTCTGCTAAACCTGGGGTGGGGGATGTCCAAAGACTCAAAGAGTTTCTGCCTCAAGGAGCTCATGTGCTTTGGAGAAACAGTATTTACATGTCAGTCAATCCTTCCACCAGCGTTGCCTAAGCACTGTAACCCAGTGCTAGGAGCTGAGGAGACAGACAGAAATGAATCCAGTTCTTGCTCTGAAGGAGCTTACATTCTGCAAAGGAAACAAAGTGTACCCAGAGAAGCAAAAGCGCTCTGAGGACTGAGGCAGTTCATAGACTCTGAAGACTTAGAAACCTTTCCTCACCACAGCCCTCAGAAGCAGGTAGCACCATTGTTATAAGACCCATTTTACAGAAGACAAGACTGAAGCTCAGAGAGACACACAAAGGGTAAATAAAAGGAGCTAGCCTCATTTTAACCTGACTTATCTCTGGACTGTACCTTTTTGTTTTTGCAGAGATGCTTCCTCTAATCTGTGGTGGACAATCCCCTGAAGATAGATGGCTTCTTCTTGCCTCTCCAGCTCATTTCACCCTCCAGAATCAAGGGTCATCCCTGTCCCCTGTACCTCTGCAGGAATTCAGCCAGAACTCCCAGGCAGCAGTGTGCCATCTGCGCCCCAAATTCCTGGCTGATGCGAGGGGCCTGATCAGTGTGATCTTCCAGCAGCTGGAGGATAGAGATGGAGAAGTGAGACCCCCTTTTCTCCAACCCCAAGCAATCTCCTCACTTGGAGTGGTGTGGGCACCTTGGAGATCTTCCCTCCTTGCCTCCCCTAACTCCAAAGCATGTTAAAGTTTTCACATTTTAAATCTTTAACTTTATAGAATTTTGCATTTGCAGAATTTTACGTGTTAGAGCTATATAATTTTAGACTGGTAGGATTACAGAATCTTAGATTGTGAGATTATTCAATTATTGAAATTATAAAATATAAGGTTAATAATAGCTAAGATTTATATGGCACTTTAAGATTTGTAAGGTGCTATTCATATGCTTTCACATTTGATCCTCACAGCAACCCTGGGAGGTAGGTATTATTATTATATTTATATATTTTTTTCTTTTTAGGCAGTTAAGCTTAAGTGACTTGCCCAGGGTCACACAGCTAGTGTGTGAGGTTAGATTTGAACTCAGATCCTCTAGACTCCAGAGTTACTGCTCTATCTACCACACCACCTAGCTGCCCCAGGTGCTCTTATTATCCCCATTTTACATATAAGGAAACTGAGGCAGACAGAAACAGGGTGACTTGAGGGCAGGGTCCTACAGCTACTAGTACGTGTTTGAGGCCAGATTTGAACTCAGGTCTTCCTGACTCCAGGCCTACTCAGCACTCTAAGCACTGCATCATCTTAGCTGCTTTGTGTTTGTTATAAAATAAGTTTTGTTTTATAATATTTATCATATTATATGTTATTGTAAAAATATGTGTGTAATTTAGACTCTTAGAATTATATCATTTTAGAATCATAGAATCCCCAAATTTCAGTCTCATAGAACACTTCAATCTTAGAAGAACAAAATCTTGGACGTCTCTCATTTAGCACCTTAGAATCAAAGAGTTTGGCTCCAAGGAATCTTTGGATTTATAGACTCTCAGAATCATCTACTTTGCTAATCCTGGAATTATGCACGTGAAAAAAATAGAAAGAGCCTCCCCTCCCTCCTCCAGCCTTCTCTATCCCAATCCCTTCTTCTTTCTCTGATGGGAGTGGGTACTGATAACTCTCCTCTCCTCCTCCCTAGAACCACACATCTTACACACACATGTCACATATACATATACACACACCTCACACATCTCTTACACACCTTACACATACTCATCTCACAGACACATATACACACAGCTTGCACACACACATCTCCACGTATCTGTCTCTCACACACCTTACACACACCTTACATACATACATCTCATACACATATACACACATATACACACACCTCTCATACACCTTACACACACAACTCACACATACACACAAACACATACACACATACACACACCTCTCACACACATACACACATATCTCACACACATATACACACCTGTCACATACTTCACACACACACACACAACTAATACATACGTATTCACATAACACATATACACATGCACACACCTCACAGACATCTTGAGCAGGCTGCTGGGCTGGTCCTCAGCTGCAATTCCTGCAGGGTCTGAAGCAGAGCAGCTCGGGTCTGAGCCTGCGAGAGCAGAAGTGGCATGATATGATCCCCAGAGTAAAAGTTCAGGGAAGTGGCACGTGGGGGGGGGAGCAGACAGCATTCCTCTCCTCCTCACAATTCCCTTCACTCCCAGACACTCCCTGTACCACAACCCACATACAGTGGAGCCTTAGACACCTCGACTTGGATGAATTTTAGCAGTTTGGAACCTTAGAGGATCTTAGATCCAGAGAACTTTAGACACAGACTCACGCAATCTAAGACTTTAGGGAATCACACCCTGTCTGGCCCAGCTGGAAGGAACTTCAGTGGTCACTTTGGCCAGCCTCACTCACATGTGAGTGAAGGAGAATCTTCTTTCCAACATTCTCCACAAAGGAGGCATCAGGGGAGCTCGTCACCTCTGCAAGCAGTCCATGACTCCCCTTCTGAATGACTCAAATGGTCAGGAACTTTCCCCAGGTGGACATCAAGCCTAAACCTGCCTCTTTGAAACTGCAGCTCCCACTTCGGTCCTCAGGGGCCCAACAGGGGGAAGCCTGATTCTTTCCCTACATGCCAGCTCCCATGTCCCTAGGTCTTCTCGTTGCCAGTCCCAGACTCCCTTGTTCTTCAGCTGATCCTCACAGAGCTTGAGACCCCAACCCATGAGACACCCCCACCACTACCATCTACAGCATTCCCTAGACCTGCCTATTTAGGAACCTTTCAATAAAGGATAAAAGGTGGGTCTGCCGTGACCCATTCTGGGCTGTGTTGGTTGGTCCAGACCTCTGATTTCTTTCCTATAGGGAGTTTATGGTGAGGAAATCCTCACTCCCAATACAGATTCTATCCAGTCTTTTAGGCACCTTTCAGACTTGGAGAGTCTCCTGCGGCAAGGAGAGGTTTGCCCAGAGGGTCAGAGGCAACCTCTGAATCCAGGTCTTGCCAATGCTGGGGCCAACACTACACCACCCTGACTCTCTCCATCTTGTTTTTGCTGAAGCTATGCTAGCCCCTTAATGATCAAAGCTTCCCTTCCTAGATGAGCACAAACCACCCCTTTCTTGCTATGTGCTAGAATTTTGCAACTGTATCCTGTAGTTCAGAGGTAGGGCTCTGCCTAGAGGGAGCCCCAAATTCATCTAGGAGGCTTATCAGTAATTGCCAAGACTGTCTACAATCTTGGTGGCTCCTGCCCCAACCCAGAATTTCTCCAGGAGAAATCAGTGTTTCACATTAGCTCTCCCTCAGGGCTATCAACTTCCAACCTCATCAAGACAACACTGTAAATACATGCTATTCAGGGCAGTAATTAAAATAGAAACCTCACCTCTTTGGCTAAGCAATAAGAAAAAGATTAGGTCATCTCCAGCTTAGTGACATTTCTGATTCTCCATCCCTCTAGCTTCCATTCCCCAAAATACTTTCACAAGAGTATGTAACTGCCCACCTCAAGAACCATTAACTCCCTGTTGCTTAAGGTATTAAGCAGATACACAAACAGAAATAGACAGATAGATAGATGAATAGATGGATGGATGGATGAATATATAGATAATAGATAGGAAGAGGTGAATAGATAGTTATTCACACAGACAGACAGATAGGTGTAGATGGAGAGAAAGACAGATAGATGTGGATAGATAGAAAGAAAGACAGATAGATGTGGATGGATAGAAAGAAAGACAGATAGATATGGAAGGATAGAAAGAAAAATAGATAGATGTGGATGGATAGACAGTCAGAAGACAGAAAGAGATGTAGAGGAATAGAGAGAAACAGACATTAGTGAGCTGCTCTTCCTGCCACAGCGTTGTATTTAAAGCCCTCTAGTTGGACTCCAGCTACCTTTCCATATTTATTTCACATGATTGCTCTTTGTACCCTCTACATTCCAGCCAGACCAGACTACTAGTCTTTCCCTGAAATTAGCATTCCGATGTTTCGCAAGACTACACATGTATAATCTGTATCAAATTGTTTGCCTTCCCCAGGAAGAGGGAGAAGAGAGAGGGAGAGAATGTGGAACTCAGAATTTAAAAAAAAGTTTAAATTGTTATTACATGTAATTGGGAAAAAATATAAAAAGTTTTCACTTGAAAAAAGAAATGAGAATTCCACCTCCATGCTTTATGCAGGCTGTCTGGCCCTCGTGGCTGGAATGTGCTCCTTGCTCACCCCTGCCTTTAGAATGCCTCTCTTCCCCCCTTTCCTGGCTCTCAGTTGTTGGGGTACTCTCCCTCCTCACATAGTTGGAGTTGAGGCAGAGGAGAAAGAAGGATGGCCTCCTCTGATCCCTTCACTCCAACTTCCTGTCCAGATGCATAGCCACTAAGCCCTGTCTCCAGCCCCATGGGGGTGAGGGTCCGACCTCTTCTGTCCTGTCATAACTGCATCCAGCCTTGGCCCCTTACACCCTGCCCTGGTGCTGACAGCTGTCTGCCATCTGCCTCCAGGTGAGAATTGTTCCTCCTTAGGCATCTGCTTGTATCTCTCCTGGGCTTCAGTTCTCCGTAGCCCTTTTTGTTCTGTCCTCACCAGTCCAAAGATCGTTCTTATAGTCATGGAATCTTTGAGTCATAGACCTAGGGAGTCATAAATTTGTCCAAGGCCAGAAAGCCAGGGGAGCCTGTAAACCCCTGGTGACCCAGGCAGACCCCTCCGCCCTTCTCCCAGATCACCTTGACATCAGTCACACATTCATCCTATAGGCTCCAAACTGTTTCTGCGGGAAGCAGCGGCCCCAGTTGCCCATTGTCCAGGGCCACCATGTTCACCATGCCCAAGATCTCCCTAAGAGCAGGCAAGGGAGGAGGTAGTGAGGCAGAGGAAAAGAAGAGATGGAGGAAAAGGAGAGGAATGTCCCCAGAAAAGCAGACAAAGCCCTTCCCCTGGTCCCATTCCACCCCCTCTCCTCTGAGACACTGAGCAGCCAAGCCCTGTCCCTCCTATAGCTGCCCATTGTGGCCTCTGGAATCAAATGCAGAGTCCTCAGCAAAGCTTTTGCCACCTACATCTTAGAGATAAATCGAGCTGGTGGTGGAGGATTGGTAGATTGTTTAAATCAGGAATGCAGCCTTAGAACAGAGAGTGTTAAATTTGGAAGGGCCTTTAAAATTTAGGGGGAAAGAAGGTGAGAGCTCAAAGGGGGCCTAAAATACCTTCTAGTCCAATTCCTTTATTTTACAAGGTGGAAACTGAGGCTCAGATGAAGGAAGGAGGAATTCTGACTTCTCCATCCTGTTGGCCCCTCAACTCCATTGCCTAGTCCCTTATCCCTCTCCCCTTCAGGGTCTCACCTTGGATCAACTTGGTTGTGCCAGTACAGGAGGGCATAGCGGTCAGCCAGAGGTAGCCAGTGGTAGGTGGCCTTCCTCAGCCAATCAGAGAGGGCTCCATGATAACCCTGAAGGTAGACACCAAAGGCTCCCAGGCTTGCTGGGTAAGCAGGTGCCAGGCGGATCCGAACAGCCCCCATGTCTTCCAGCAGCCTAGAGCAGAGGGCCTTGTGCAATCTTAAACAAATGACCAGGCTCCTATGATTTCTGGGGTGTCTCCTCTCCTGGGATTCATTACTAAGATTGGCAGGATGTGACCACTGCCTCCCTCCCCTTGGCCCGTCGGCCTCTTTGTCCACTGGCAGGTCGCCATCCATTGCCTGGCTGCCAAAACACACTGACCAGGCAGCTAAAAGCCTCGGGCCGTGTGCCCCCGCTCCCTCTTAGGCTGGTGGAATAGGCTTTTTGAACACACTTCAAAGTCTCGACATCTCTCCCTCTTCAATTGGGCCCTAATGATCTCACCAGAGGTTGCTGCTAAGTGTCTCTCCACTGGCTCTCTGGGGAAAACCGTCCACACCAGCCCCTCTAAGGTTTAAACTGCATGATTCCCATTTTCTCTGTCCTTTCTTAAATCCAGGCAATCAGCAAAGCAGGAAATGAAGCCTGATATGGAGAATTTTCAGATTTCCAGGGTGTGGACACTCATATGGCAAATTAACAAAATGGCTTCCGTGAATTCCTGGGAGCCGGCTCTGGCACATGCCTAGTTCTCACGCAGCTGGATTCTGGGGCCCTGACTCTGTCTCCCAGGGCGCTCATGGGCCCTTCCCTGGTTCTGCAGCAGTGGCTGGGCATGTGCTGGGGGAAGGGCAGGGGAGCCCTGAATATGCGATCTCATGTTGGCACACAACAAACCAGCCTGTGAGACTGAGGCAGAGGAGGGATTAGTATCCTGATTTTACAAATGAGAAAGTGAGAAAGAGGGAAGGAAAGGGAAGATGTAAGTATTTATTAAGCCCCTACTGTGTGCCAGGCACTATGCTACACCTTTTACGAATATCTCATCCATCTTCCCAACCTCACCCCCCTCCCACAGAAGGCAGAAGCTGTTTTCATTCCCGTTTTACAGATGAGGAAACTAAGGAAGCGCTTACATGCCTTGTCCAAAGTGCTGAAGGCCGAATTTGAACTCAGGTCTTCCTGACTCCAGGCCCAGAGCTCTCTCTGCTCTGCAGCCTCAGAAGGGAAGGGACTTGCCCAAGGTCTCCATTTGAAGCCACGACTTATGACTCCAAGCCCAGGGTCTTTTCTTTCTTTTTTTTATTGATTTCTTTGGATTTATCAACAATTGCTTCCATATAGTTTTCCATTTTTGTCCCCCTCCCTACACCCCTCCCTCCCCAAGACAGTGCACAATCTAATATAGCCTTTACTTATACATTCCTAGTGACATATTTTCACAGTAGTCATATTGTAAGGAAGAATTAGAACCAAGAGGAGGAACCACCAGAAAGAGGAAACAAAATGCAACAAAAGAAAAAAATAGCAAATAGTGCACTGCAATCTGCATTCAAACTCCATAGTTTTTTTTTGGATGTGGGTGGCATTTTCCAACAGGAGGCGTTTGGGGAGTCTTAGATCCTTGCATTGCTGAGAAGGGCTAAGTCTATCAAAGTTAGCTATAGCACACCGTGGCTGTTACTGTGTAGTACGTTCTCCCGGTTGTGTTCACTTCACTCAATATTAGTCCGTAGAAGTGTTTCCAGGTTTTTCTGAAGTCTGCCTGCTCATCATGTCTTACAGCACAGGAGTATTCCATTACATTTGTATACCAGAACTTGTTCAGCCATTCCCCAATTGATGGGCATCCTCTCAATTTCCAATCTTTGCCACCACAAAAAGAACTGCTATCAATATTTTTGTATGTGTGGGTTCTTTTCCCATCTGTATGATCTCTTTGGGATACAGCCCTAGAAGTGG